GCAGATCGAGCAAAACTGGCCCCCTTGGTTCTTTTTTTTTTTTCCCCCTTGGTTCTTAAATGGCTGAAGTTGGGAAGCATGGGCTTTCCCCAAGAACTCTCTCTGTACCACTATAGCACTCACAGCAATCTTGTGAAAAATGAAGATTCTGAGTCAGCAGATCTGGGCTGGGGCCCAGGTTTCTGCATTTTTAAAAATAATTTATTTCTTTTTGGCTGTGCTGGGTGTTAGATGCTACACGGGCTTTTCTGTGGTTGAGACAAGCGGGGACTACTCTCTAGCTGTGGTACGTGGTGCCTGGCTTCTCACTGCGCTGACTTCTCCTTTTGCAGAGCTCGGCTCTAGGGCGTGTGGGCTTCAGTAGTTACAGTTCCCAGGCTGTCGAGCACTGGCTTGGTAGTTGTAGCATACGGGCTTAGCTGCTCCGCGACATGTAGGATATTCCCGGACCAGGGATCAAACCCATGCCTCCTACATTGGCAGGCGGACTCCTTACCACTGAGCCACCAGGGACGGCACTGTCCGAGGTGATGATGATGTGCTGGCCTCTTTTGACTCTAGGTTTGGTCCACAGACCAGCAGCATCAGCATCCTCGGGGGGCTTGCTGGAGGTGCCAGCCCTGGACCTGCTGTATCAGCAGTCCCCAAGAGGTCTCTGGGCACATTCTTGTTTGGGAAGCCCTGATCGTTCATGCTGCTGGGGGGCGAGGAGAGGTCCTCAGTGCGTAGTGAGCCCTGCTGAGCAGGCAGTTGGATCCCATGCCTAAATTCCTCCCCTGGAAGCAAGGTTTCCATTTCCTGGTTTCCAAACCACTTTACAAAGAGTTCCTGGAAGGATGTTTTCAGGCCTGGCATGCCCTCTCTTGGGGGCACCCTTTCTTGTTTCCAGATCTTTCCATCCTACTGTATGCCCACTTCTGCTCCCATCTGCATTTTGAGACTCACATCCTGTCCTCTGTGTAGCTGCCTCACTGTCTGGATTCTCAGAGGCAGACGCCAGTGGCTGGTGTATGGGGAGAAGGGACATCTATCTTTCCTGGTGTGCTGCTCCCAGAGGATACAATTTCCTTGACAGATGTGTTCTGGTTGCAGCCACTCGGGGTGGGGTGAGGAGTTGTGTGAAAGGCTGGGTGCACGAGGCTTTAAAAAATCACCATGAGGACAGTGTCCCCTGGGGGACAGACGAGATGAGGAAGGACGTGCTCAGCAGAGTGCCAGCTCTTGGCCCTGGGCCAGCTGTGTGCAGAGGAAATGGGAATCAGAGTTCTGGGGTCTCTGAGAGTAGGGGCTGCAAGACCATTATCATGATGACAGCCTATGGGTGACAGATTGTATTTGAAAGGTGGCTGCAGGCCTATCTCTCATCTTACCTGCTTTTCTATAATGGGACTCTGCCACACTGCTGCTAAGAGGTGGAGTCAGTTCCCCTGTCTTGAATCGGGGCTGACCTTCTGTCACCCAGTGATGCTACAGGATTTCGGAGCCTGGGTCAGAAAAGCCATTCAGCTTCTGCCTGGACCTCCTGAGACCTGCATTCTGGAGGAAGCCAACAGCCATGAAAAATCCTGACTCTGCTGAGTCTGTCGTGCTGGGGAGGTGTGTGCGGTGCTCCAGGTCGCGGTTGACAGCCAGCACCCATGCAAGAGGCCGTCCTGATGTCCAGCCTGGTCAAGCCTTCAGGTGCTGCAGCCCCAGCTGGTGTCTAACTGCTGTGACCACATTAAGTGAGCTCTGCCTAGCTGGACCTGTCTCGATTTCCTGATCTACAAAATCATGAGCAAAAGAAAACGAGTGGTTTAAGACATTAGGTTTTGGGGTAATTTGTTATGCATCCAGAGTAATTGCAGTGTTCTGGAGGCTTTAGGTTTCGTAAGTATATTCTTAAAGTGTTAGTCACTTCATCGTGTCTAACTCTTCTGTTACCCTGTGGACTGTAGCCCACCAGGCTCCTCTGTCCATGAAATCTTCCAGGCAAGAACTGGAGTGGGCCACCATGCCTTCTTCTAGGGGATCTTCACGGCCCAGGGATTGAACCCAGGTCTCCCACATTGCAGGCAGATGCTTGCCATCTGAGCCACCAGGGAAGCCAATATATTCTTTAAAATAACTTGCAAATAAAATTCTCTTTACTTAGTTATATTTAAAATGCTTTTAAAATACCCAAGTGCAGTGAGTAGGTTGTTGTTGCAAAATGAAATCCACTCCCCACCCCCACCCCTGAAAAAAAGCCTGGAAACTGTCTAGAAAACAGTTTTTTACTAGAAAACTATCTAGTGAAAACTTGCAATTGGAGGCTAGAGTAAAATGATAGAATGACAAAATGCTGGTTTCTGTTTGTGCTCTGTTAGGTACTTTATATTTGTTCATTTAAGTTTTATTTCCACTGTGTAAGTTGTGCCCATTTTACAGATGGGAGGACTGAGGCTCAGAGATGTTAGTGAACTCACTGAGAGCCCCACAGCAGGGGCTGGGACTTGAACATGGATGAGACTGACTCTAGTGCCTGTCTTGCAGCAGATAGAAGAATTGTTAATGTTGAGAGCTAAATTTCTAAGTCTTCTCTCCTTGTGGACAAGGGTTCTTGGAATCTTGGAGAATTTTCTTTAGTGCTGGGCCCTTCAGAATCACCTGGGGAGTATTTTAAAATTCACATACCAGGCCCAGTCCATACCAAGGCTGTAGGTGTGGGATAGGGTGTCTCCAGAGGTTCTAACCCTTCTTTATTTGTCACCTCTGACCTAACCCAACCTCCCATGTTGCAGGGGGCTTCCCAAGTGACATTAGTGATAAAGAACCCACCTGTCAATGCAGGGGACGTAAGAGACAGGATTCAGTCACTGGATTGGGAAGATCTGCTGGAGAAGGGAATGGCAACCCACTCCAGTATTCTTACCTGGGAAATCCCATGGACAGAGGAACCTGGTGGGCTGCAGTCTATGGGGTCACAAAAAGTCAGACATGACTGAAGCGACTTAGCATGCATGCACTCATGCACCCAGGTTGCAGGCCCAGTGAGAAATGGGTTGTTCTGAGAGCCAGAGCAGCTTAGTGGTGGAGCTCGGGCAGAAAGCAGGTTTCCCAGCACCAAGATGGCATGTAGCCTTGTGTCTTGGAGGAGGCTTGGAGGTCTGTTAGCAGAAATTACCTTACACACTAATGCAGGGGTCTCAGGGCATTGCAATAAGATCCTATAGTAGATATGTTCTGGGCTGAGTGCTGAGTGAAACAGTCAGGGGCCAGCACTACTTTCTTCTTGAAGTTTCATAAATACAAGGACAGGACAGAGATTTACGACTTGAAAAATCTCACTTGTGGGGAGAGAGAGGGGAGGAGAGGAACAGAGGGAGACAGAGAGAGGGAGGGACAGGTATATAGAGGCACAAAAGACAGATTGAATTTTAGGTCTCGTTTAGATATACTTGTAGATATACATGCATATCTACATGTATATACATGATAGAATTCAGTGTGAGGCTGATCAGACCCAGGGTAATTTGTTTTATCTGTAGCAGCTGTTCAAAGTCCAGAATAGACAGTAGATTCCGCAGTCACTGGAGAGTCACTGAGAGTTCCACCCTGCTGGACTGTGAGGACATAACCCTGGAGAGTGACTCCACGCTCCACACCCTCCCAGTGTAACTGGGCACACAGACTAATGACCATACAAAGCTCCAAGTCTAGGGAAGAAAACAAGACTCTCAGACCGCTGACTCTGTCTGGTGCCTGGAGTGGCTCTAAGATGACCCACCATCTAGGTTTCTCCTAAGACTGAGATTTTTCGTGGTACATAGGAATTTCAGTGCTAAAACCAGGAGAGTCCCGGCCAAACCGGGACTGTTGGTCACCTGGCTGGTCTCCTAGATGAGACGACTGCTGACCTCCAACTCCCGTCCCCCAACTCCCCTCCTCCTTATCTTGGCAATGGTACCCCATTTCCTGAGAGGCCAAGCCAGAGCCCTTGGCATCAGCTCTGACCACCACCCCTACCCCTGCCTGTGCCTGTTCTTCCATTTCAGTCCTGCCTTTTGCTTCTCTCTGCAGGCACCTCTTGTTGGGACAACTGCCCTCACCTCCTCACTGTCTCTGCTCACTGCTCTGCTCCAGTGCCCCGTGTTCACCACTGTTGGACATTTCATTCCATGCTTTCCTGCCAAATTCCTCCTAGCTTCAAAAGGCAGATTTCCTCAGTCTGGCACTCAAGCGCTGACTCACCCGGCCACATCTGAGGGCACTCTGAACCGAATTCAGGTGGAGAACTGGGCGGGAGAGCTGGGAGGAGGCCCAAGGGCTGAAAGCTGGCTAAAGAAGCCTGCCATCTCTGTTGTTCTTCCCCGCAGGTTTCCTCTTGCTGGTGATCCTTTTCATCCACCTGGGTGTTGCGGGTTCCCAGAGTGAGAGAGGGGTCGGGAGGTGGAGGCTTAGAGCTGTCTGGTTCCTTAACAGCAGCCCCCCATCCTCTTCCCGCTTCCTTCTTTCCTCTCCTCTGCTGTCTCTCCTGTCCCAGCCTTCTCTTTTCTGGAAGCTTCTTTCTCTCACTCTGCCCCCTGGTGATGGTGATGGTGGAGGGGCGCCATCTGGAGTAACGTGGAGGAGGAGCACCGCCGGTTCGTTTCTCTAGTCTTGCCCGCTGCTCCATCCCTTTCACTCCAACTCAAGTCCATTTTGTCCCCAGAGACAGCTGTTGGCCTGGTCTTGCCCTAGTCCGAGCCACCATTCTGGACTTCAACACCCAGTTCCCTTTGGATCCCCAAGTTCTTAGGGTCTTTTTGTGTCCGCTTCTCCGCTCTTCTCTTATGCCCCACGCTGGTCCTAGCAGGCTGGTGGTGATGAAAGACACTACAGTCTTAGTGATTCTTCCATCTTTCCCCCGTTGGAGCTGCCTGAGATCCATCAGTTGGGCAGCCTGTCCCCCCGCCCCAGGGACCAGTTTGTCCACTCTGAGCTCTTGCGTAAGCCGCCTCCTCCCCAATGCTCACGCCTCTTTCTTTGTTTTCTTTCAGTTTTACAGAATTTTTGGATCCCTTCCAGAGAGTCATCCAGCCAGAAGAGATCTGGCTCTATAAGAATCCTCTGGTGCAGTCAGACAACATCCCCACCCGCCTCATGTTTGTAAGTACTGCTGATTTCATGGCTGATGGGACCACTCCCCCAAGTGTGAGCCACATGGGTTTTCACTTCTGTTTTTCCACCCGCTGCTGATGACTGCCAGCAGCCTGAAGAACAGAGGCAAGTGGCCGGACAAATTAATTCCAGATTGGAATGGTTTGCTGCTTGGTCATGTGAGAAGCAATTGCCCGAGGCTTTGGAAAAGAAGGGCCCTGCTTACTTTAGCTAAACCCAAACTGTTTCCAAATACTTAGAGTAGAATAAGTGGAGAAGGCAATGGCAACCCACTCCAGTACTCTTGCCTGGAGAATCCCAGGGACGGAGGAGCCTGGTGGGCTGTAGTCCATGGGGTTGCGAAGAGTCGGACACGACTGAAGTGACTTAGCAGCAGCAGCAGCAGCAGCAGCAGCATAGTAGAATAAGATGAGAAACTAGTGAACAGAGTTGCCCGCTCCATTTTCTTTTAAAGTAGTCCTCAATTTAGCCATGCTCAGACACCATTAAACTGCTCTGTTAGCCACTTTTCTGGGCTTGGCTGGTCAGTTAACCAGTGATGAGACCACTGTGTGTGACTCAACTCTGGGTAGCATCTCTGATCCTAGGATAAATGGGCGAACACCCAAATAATTGGTGGATATATTGGGACTATTTTACCTCTTCATTCTGCCCCATGTTGATTACAGCCTTTTACACTTCCCCTCCCATGGGCTTTTCTGGTGGCTTGGGTGGTAAAGAATCCCCCTGCAAAGCAGGAGCCCTGGGTTTGATCCCTGGGTCAAGAAGATCCCCTGGAGAAGGGAATGGCAACTCCAGTACTCTTGGCTGGAGAATCCTATGGACGGAGGAGCCTGGCGGGCTATAGTTCATGGTGTCATAAAGAGTGGGACACGACTGAATGGCTAACACTACTACGTCCTGGTCCCTTGCTGAAAGCTTAGGAAGGATTATCTCACTTAGACCCACCCTGATTGACGGTGGAAGGAGAAGGGGACGACAGAGGATGAGATGGTTGGATGGCATCACCGACTCAATGGACGTGAGTTTGAGTAAACTCCAGGAGTTGGTGGATGGACAGGGAGGCCTGTCGTGCTGCAGTCCATGAGGTCGCCAAGAGTCAGACACGACTGAGCGACTGAGCTGAACTGACTGTTTCCCAGTGAGGAAGATGTCATTATTGTCTGAATTTTGCAGGTGCAGACCTGCATCCCAGAGAGATGAGAGAGCTTGCCCAAAGCCACACAAGCTAGAGAGTGGGAGAGCCCAGATTCGCACGCGAGCAGCCAGCTCTGAGCCCCGCTCTCAGCCAGGAGGTTGCCTTGTACTAAGGCTCACCAGCTCCTGGAGAATTGCTTTAAGGCCTTTCTGTGGCAGAGGAAATATTGAAGCTCTGTCTTGTTATAGAACAAGAATGTAGCTTTTGGATGGGCAACGCTGTAGCTCAAAGATTTTGCCTATTGACCAGCCATCACGTGTCCTGTCTCTGGGAACACAAGTGTGTGTTCCAGAGCTTTTATAGAGCACACAACGGATATTTTTGCACTTTGAAAGAAATCCCTCTGATTTGGGGAGGAAATCTTGTTCATCAGTGATTGGAAAGTTCATCAGTGATTGGAAAGATCACCAGTGATTGGCTCAAAGATGATGGAAAGATCTTTGTGTCTGCAGACATCCCCAAGTGTCCAGAACACTACATGAACATTGCAGTCTTATTTTTATTGCTTTTTCATGATTTGCTTCCTGCTGGAAAATAAATCAGGTTTTTGTAAGTATCAGGGAAATTGAATAATGTAGGGTTCTTGTGAGTTGGGCATTGCCTTACATCTGTGTATTAAAGTCAGATTTTTTCCCCCATTTTTGTTCCAACTCACATCTTCCATAAATCCTAGAAATGAAGTAACTAGCATGTGTCGCACTAGTTTACTCCATGGTTTTAGTAGGAGGAGCTTCTGTTTATCACTGATCCCTATTTTCAAAGATTTCACATTTTGTGTGCTGTAAAACCCAATTTGGAGATGACTGTTCATATGGGGTGTTGTGATGAATCTGTGGCTGTGTCCTAGATTTATGAACAATGGATTGTTTTGAAGTCTAGATACAAATGCCACAAATATCCTGGCTGCAGACACAAATAGGATGGAGCACATTTGCATGTTGGCAGTGGAGGGAAGGAGACAGTAAAGGAGTTATTCAGTGCTGTGATTCTCAGAGAATAGAAGGGTATTCAGTCACAAACACTGATTCATACCCTCTAATCTCCTAATGAAATAAGTTCTACCTTTTGTTTTGTTAATAGTTGTTGATGAATTTCATTCATTCGGTTGCAAGATTTAGTGCGATTCCATAATAACACAAGGAAAGCAGTAGATACATTTAGAATATGTGCAACGCAAGATGAAAAATGCTTTGTCACCACATAAATTAGATTTGTTCTCCTGGGTTTTATTGAGAGTTTAATACAAGATATCATTTGTCTGCTTTTGATCTTTACAAACCTTATGGTGTTTCTAAAAGAATGTACAAGAGAACATATTTTCAATGTTTTTTTAAAAATCGCTTGGCTTCCTTAGAAAGCTCCAGTTTCATTATTTAACACATAGATAATCCTGGGGTCTCCTCTATTTTTGCTTAGAATGTTTTACTCTAAAGGCAAACTTGCTAACTTTCTAATAACAAAAGTGTTTTTTAAAGGCAGCTGCTGTGAATCCAGATTTCTTTGTGAAATCAGTGTCTCTGGAGTTGTGCTTATTTGTGTGGGTGTCTGTTTTAAAAGAGCTACTTGGTCAAATGTTACAAAAATATTATCGGAAGGTTAGGGAATCAAGTAAGGAGTAAATGGTAATGACATCACCTGGAAGCCACTGCCTGGCATTTTCTCTGTCTTTGGCACCATCAGCTAAGGTGAGAGTATCTGTCAACATGACACTTGGGTGTGGTTGGACCATGGATTCTGAGAGTTTCCCGTGATGCCCCTGGGCTCCTGTGGACCAGAGAGGAAGGCTGAGAACTCTGTTCTCACATACTGGGTCTTGACTTTAACATTTGCTGTTAAATATTAACAGGCGATCAGCCGCTTCCTTATTCAGAAGAGGCCATGCTTCCTTTTTGAACATGTGGAGTGTATCAGGGCATCTGTGAAAGCCTACTTTTTGGTGTAGGAAGAATACTCAGCTGGCATTCCATAGTGCTCTTCAGTACCCTCTCTGTTATATGTGTGTCCAGGGAACACTTCCAGGGTGAGGAGAGCCATGGGAATTGCCGGTGATGTGAAGTCAAATCAGACCTGACCCCTGCAGGCTTGTGAGGGCGATGGTACCCTGAAGCAAAGTGGCATCTGAGAAAGAGTGGACGAGAGGCTCAGGGGCACTCTTAGGGGCGCTCGTCCCCATCCTTACCGTTGTCCTCCTTCTCATCACCATGGTAGTCACAAGAGCAGCTCGCATCTCTTGACTGTAGTAACAGTGCTCATCACTTTACAAATAGCGTCTCAGTGAATTCTCTCAGAATCCTTGGAGGTTGGCACTTTTGTGATCCCATCATTTCAGTAGAGAAAATGAAACTGTCATGAGATTAAACAGCTTATCCCAGGTTTACAACCATCAGTGGCTGGACCAGGGTCTGAATGCCGCCGATCAGAGTGCAGACACTCTTGGAGCCATTCAGCTGTGCTGCCTCCTTGGGGGTCGAAGGGAGGTGGACAGGTGGTGAGTGCAGCCTGTCACACACAGAGGATCAGGTGTCAGGGAGCAGACACAGTGGAGCCAGGCCGTGGGGGCCCCATGAATGCGAGTTTGCTTAGAGTTCTGAATGGTGAATGGGGCAGCGGGAGGCAGGGTACAGGCAGAGTGTGGACAACTTCAAGTTAGTTGATTATTGCTTAATTCAACAGAAAGTTATGAAGCACCTTCCTAGAACCAAGCACGGTGGTGGGTAGTGGAGGTGCAGAGCTGAGTAGGTATGGTCTCTAGTCTAGTGGGAGCAGAGACAACACAAGTCAGACCGTTCGGCTTCCCAGGAAAACCCTCGAAGGACAGGCAAGACTCAGGGAACTGAAGGAAGAGGAGGTGTTTTGCAATTTCTTAACTTGATTTTAAAAAAAATCTGCCCAAGACCTATCCTCTGCCCAAGATCAATCTTTGTCCTCTGGCCATGACGTGTCCAGAAGATTTACTTCTGTAGCGTATTACTGGTATTGTGTTGATTTAATAACAGGAGCTTCTATTCTGTAATAGGATGCTTCTAAGGAAGACAAAAATAAAATCAGTTTGTGGGGAGGAGGGAAGGAAAAGAGACAAAGCTGGCTCGTGGTAGTTTAGTTTTTAGACACTTTTGACAAGTCTTCACTCCCAACTCCCAGGCTGTGACTGTCTGCCCACTGCAGGGCCCTTCCCAGGTGGCTGTGTGTCTTGAGTTGTTAGAAGCACCGTGGACCACACACGGCTTTCTGTCAGATGCTGAAAATTCAGTTGCTTTGGGCCCACTCTTTTGTCTGATGTGACTAACCCCCAGTGACAAGCTCTTCTGTGGCTAAAACATCCTAGCATCGGGTGCCCGGGCTTCAACCCCTTTGGTGGTTAAAAGTCCTTGGCCACTCATGCCCTTCCCTGGAGACAAGCTTTGTGTCTGGTGTCATACTTGGTGGATTCGCAGAAGTATCTTGGCAACACAGTGCCTTATATCAGCATCCAGGGGTCACCCATTGTCTGAACTGGGGACGGACAGCATGTCCTGTGTTGGTTTCACTGGTGGATGCACAAGGCATGGCCCTTGCGTCCTCCAGCTCCCGCTCCTGGTTGGAGCCACGGGGCTCCTGCGCAGCAACCCATCTCCTGTTCGGTCAGAACCGTCCAGCTCAGGGTCATTCCCTGCAGGCAGCCTCTGGAACCTTGGAGGGGAAGTCTTCCCAAATCATATTTTCTCTGGGGTTCCAATTCTGTCTAACCTTAGACTATGCCTTCTGGGACTGTCTTATATTAATAGCGGGCTCCCCTGGTGGCTCAGATGGTAAAGGGTCTGCCTGCAATGTGGGAAACCCAGGTTCAATCCCTGGGTTGGGAAGATCCCCTGGAGAAATAAATGGCTATCCACTCCTGTACCCTTGCCTGGAAAATCCCATGGATGGAGGAGCCTGGTAGGCTACAGTCCATGGGGTCACAAAGAGTCAGACATGACTGAACAACTTCACTTTCCTTTCCTTTTATGTTAGTAACATATATGTGCTAAGAGACTTAGTTGCTCAGTCTTATCTGACTCTTTGTGACCCCAGGAACTCAAGCCCACTAGGCTAATCTGTCCATGGAATTCTCCAGGCAAAAATACTGGAATGGGTAGCCATTCCTTTCTCCAGGGAATCTTCTCGACCCAGGGATTGAACCCAGATCGCCTGCATTGCAGGCAGATTCTTTACAATCTGAGCCACCAGAAAAGCCACCAATAGCAAACATATATATGCGTGTGTGTGTGTGTGTGTGTGCGCGCGTGTGCGCACGTGTGTGTGTGTGTGTGTGTGTTGTTGTTCATTTACCCAGTCCTGTCCAACTCTTTGCAACCCCATGGACTGCAACATGCCAGGCCTCCCTGTCCCTCACATCTCCCAGAGTTTTCCAAGTTCATGTCCATTGCTTCAGTGATGCTGTCCAGCCATCTCATCCTCTGACACTCTCTTCTCCTTCTGCCCTCAGTCTTTCCCAGCATCAGGGACTTTTTCAGTGATCAGCTGTTTGCATCAGGTGACCAAATACTGGAGTTTCAGCTGCAGCATCAGCCCTTCCAGCAAGTATTCAGGGTTGATTTCCCTTAGGATTGACTGGTTTGAGGTCCTTGCTGCCCAAGAGACTCTCAGGAGTCTTCTCCAGCATCACAGTTCGAAAGCATTAATTCTTCGGCACTCTACCTTCTTTACGGTCTAACTCTCACAACTGTACATGACCACTGGGAAGACCATTGCCTTGACTATGTGAACCTTTGGTGCCAGAGTAATGTCTCTGCTTTTCAACACACCGTCTAGGTTTGTCATAGCTTTCCTGCCAAGAAGCAAAATTCTTCTGATTTCATGACTGCAGTCACCATCCACAGTGATTTTAGAGCCCCAGAAGAGGAAAGCTATCACTACTTCCACCAGAATGGAGAACCCCCATGGACAGAGGAGCCTGGAGGGCTATAGTCCATGGGATCACAAAGGGTCAGACACGACTGAGCAGCTGAGCACAGCGCACAGCATATCTCTAGTTCACTATTGTTCTCATATTTATGGTTTGACTCTTGGTGGGGTTGCTGCAATACTGTTCACTGTTCAGTGAGCTGCTCTCTCCTCTTTGAGGGCAGCGGCTGGTCTGTAGTGCTCAAAGTGAGAGGAAACCAAAAGCCCAGGACTTCTTTGACCTTAAGCTTAACTTCAGACTTAGGTAAGCTGGGGCTTCAGCCATCTCTCTCTAAACGCTGAATGTGTGAATCAGAACTGATGCAGTGTTTCTGTCACCAGAGTCATTTGAGATGCTTGTTACACAACATAGATTCCAGACCTGTCCTATAAGAGGGTCTGAGGGATGCAGCCGTGTAACAAACGCTGCAGGTGTGAGAGCCGCCCAGGCACTGGTGGAGACTCAGACTTGCTGGAACTCTTCCCTCACGAGTGAGTGTTGCCTTTTTCAGTCACCCTGGGTGAATCCTCTGCTTCTCTGCTCCAGTTCTGAATCTCCTTTTGTGCAGCTTCCCTGAGACCTGGGCCACACTCTTCTGAACACCCTCCATGGAGACAGGACTTACTGATGTCAAGTCGTTCAGGGCCGTGGCCAATAAGGAGGCTCATCAAGCTGGTTACTACCATCTGTGGTCAGAAAGAAACCAGCCTGTAAGGAGAAGGGTCTTCTCATGTCTCATGAGCTGTCTGTGAATGTTGCTCCCAAAGAGGAGTCCCCAAGCTGCTCTGAGCTCTCACGGTCTGGCTCTTGCATGTCTGTAAGACATCTCCAATTATTTTGATAGACTGTGTGCATTTGGAGGAATTCTGGTGGTGTTTTTTTTTAAAGGAAAGTATCTTCCAGCCATGCCTTGGTCCTGTTAGCAAGCCCCCTTTCCAAAAAGCAACATTGGTTAGAGCCCAGGTGGGGTCTTCCCAAATTGTGAACACTGTTGGTTAATAGTTACCATCTCCCATGCCCACCCCTCCCACCATTTTCTGTGAGCCCAGCTGTAGATTTGTGAGATATTTAATCCCTTTTGATTGTTATCCTGAGATGTTATAATCATAAGGAAGTAACACAAATATTGTATGCCAAAAAGTTCGTTCAGGCTTTTTGGTAAGATAGGATGAAAACCCTGAATGAATGAACTTTTTGGCCAATCTAATACCTTTTTCTTGGTCATTGAAATGTTGGAAAAAAAACAAACAAACAAACAGCATACTAATTATAGAATGCTGAGTAAAGACTAGGTATGGGAAGCAGAAAACCTGACCTCTGAAGCCCATCTTGCTATTTCCCAGATGTGTGTCCTTGGCCACACCACCTAGTCCCCGAACCGGGCAAAGATTGTCACAAAGCCTGCGTGAGGATTTAAGAGACCCCAGTACTGGATGGTATCCAAACATGGCTCCTGCCTCATAGAAGGTTCAGTGATAAAAGTTGTTTGCATCTGAATCCCACCAGCTTGATTCGTTAAGTGCAGTGCATACTGTACTCCGAGTGCTTTGGTCTAGGGAGGTAAAGGGGATGGAGGAAGAAAAGAGGAGAGACTTCATATGAAGGGACTAACCTCTACTTTGCAGCGGAAATGAATATTCAACCCAAGAATGCCGAAGGGGAATGAATCAATAGACTCCAAGCAAATCCCACGTGTCCCCATGTTGCCAGAGCGCTGGGGATGGGAGGCCAAGGGTTCTTCCACCCCTCCGCAGGGGAGGATGGGAGGAGGGTTACTGGCAAAGATGTCACTGTAATTATAGACTCTTCGTTTCTGTTTAAAAAGCCACCACTTTAAATGTGACTCCCAGCAATTACAAATCAATTATAACCCATAATCAGACCTCCGATTTTTCAAGTCTGTGGAATCTCTCAGTATAGATATAAATCCTTCTTAGCGTAAGGTCAGGAGTTCAGTGAGATCATTCAACTAGTGAGTCCAAAGGAAGTTAACTGGAACTAATTATCACTCGGCTCTCTGATAGCAAACTACTGCCTTCATAAGGGATTATTTGTTATTTCTTCCAGGCAATTTCTTTCCTCACACCTCTGGCTGTTATTTGTGTGGTGAAAATTATCCGGCGGACAGACAAGACTGAAATTAAGGAAGCCTTCCTAGGTAGAGTATTCCCAGTTCCTGCTTTAGGGGATGGGGCTGAACTTCAGTAGATCACCAGATTTCAAAAAATCTCAGTTGCACTCAACTGATTTTTCTCTTGGTCAAATTAAGCTTGGTAGACACAAGACAAGGTAAATGTTTAGCCCTTTTAAAGAGCCAGTGCGTGGTAAGTAGCTCATCTGCCGGCCAGCCCATCACCGCTGTCCCTTGTGCTAAAAATGAGTGTCAGGCTCCTAACCTGTGCTTCCTAAGCAAACCGGAAGGACAGCTCTTGGCTGTAAGGCAAAGTGAATCTGAAGCTTTGTCACTGCTGACTGTCCAACCCCACATTTGTGACTAATAAGCCCCCATTTGGGGCAATTCAGACATCAACCACAGACTCCTTGACCAGTCACCATTGACTGGAAGCAAAAATGTGGAAAAGCAGATGTAAAATTTAATATAAATTGGAAACAAGCTCCATAACTCATTGCCACTGTGGGGACATTTTGGCAGTTAATCAGTTGTTATTACATAAAGAATGCTACAATCTTTGCCATCGAGTATGACACGATGCTTATAAATTCTCTCTAAGCTGAGCCATATCTGCGTGTGACAGGAGTTTGATATTTTTAGGGTTAAATCCATTTTTTTCCCCTGATCTGCATATTAATCCAAAGACAAAGTAAATGACAGCATGAAGAGAAAGCAAAACTATTTGGCTTGTTTAGCAAAATAAACTCCCCGGAAGCCAGGGTTTTAGCTTTTTGATCATCAGGAATACTGAATTGGGTTTATTTTCTGACATGACACCTTGACGCTATCCAAACCCTCACACACATTGTGTTGTTGGTGTGTTGTGTAGGCTCACCATTCAGTAAGGTAGTAAATCTGGAAATATGAGATTCTTCACTAAAGATGGTATTTGTTAATTACTGGACTTTGAGGAAATGAAAAACGTAGCAAACTTCGATCTTCCCTGTTCTTTGTAAGGGAAGGAGGGTGGGTGTGAGTTCTAGGGTGTGCAGAGCAGTGGAAGGACCGGGGCTGTTTCTTACATAGCCAGGCTTTGGTTAGGCTCTGTGTAGTTGAAAAGAACAGAGTTCCTCTCAAATTGGATCGGGTAAATTAGAGGTTTGGTTATAGGACTATAACAAGCAATCTTACAGACCTTCAGGAATCAGAGGGGAAACCCTTGTGGAGATGAAATAGGGATCCAGGCCATGAGGGGTAGAGGCGCCCTGTCGCCTTATGCCCCCCCCCCCCCAGTGATGCATCCTTCCTCTCTGCTCAGTCCCTGCCTCAGTCTCCTGTGAGGATGTCATCTCTGCTGCCTGCATCTTGGTCTGTGTGAGGCTTGGGCTTGCAGTGGTGGGTGCCCCTGGCCCATGCCTGTGTGACTGCTCAGCCCCAGTGCCAGCTCCAAGCATCACTGCATCCTGTGGTCCAGACTTCCCAGGCGGAGACTCTGGACTTGACTCAAGTCTCAAGCCTGGATGCAAAAATCCCGTGTCTCTGGCTGGCCTGTGGATGCTCTGCTTGAAGACAGCTGTGTTTCCCAGGCTGCTCACCTGTGCTTTGAGGCTCTGGTCATCACATGGTCTGTGTCTCTTCAACTGAGGTGGTGGAAAGGTCATGTTTTCCAGAAAGGGGGTAGATGCCCTCCCTCTTGAGGCTTAAGCAGTTGGGACAGTGTTTGGGCAGATATCACTGTGGTCCCCAAATGTCCCATTGGGAGCCTCTCTCAGTTGACCTGGAAATCTGTTTGCCCCACTTGTTATTCTAGCCGCTCCCCTGACACTGAGTCCTGAGACATATGGTTGTGGGTAGGAACTGTCTTTCATGGTTACAGTTATAATTTACTGGCTGCTTTTGGCGCTGGGAGATTGTTATGGCCTTGAGGAGCTTACGGTTACTTTCTCTAGACCTTTTCATTCTCAGTCAAATCTCCCTTAGGATGACACTTCAAAATTGTACACCATACCTGTCCTCCTATATGTTAACGGAGAAGGTGGAGTTAATTGGATGTTCTGTTTGCCCAGATAAATGAGAGGCTGCCTTGTAAAAATGATGAAGAACCTCCCTTTGTTCACAATTAAAAAAAAAAAGTTGCCACTTTTAGGAAGTCTTGGAAGGGGCTGGCGGGAGTGACCTTTCAAAACCGAGGACAGAAAACTAGGTATAGCTTTTTCTCCATTATCTGGAATTCAGGAGTTTCTCAGTGAGGGTGGATTGGTCTGAGGTCCCTTCTTTACCCAGGCGTCTTCAGCAGACCTGGACCCTAAGAATGCCCCTTAGCTGCCTGTCCACAGAAGCCCCCTTTGTGCATCTGTTCGTGTGCCAGTAAGGCTCGCCCCACCCAGGGATTTGGCTGCAGAACGGCCAAGACGGTGTTCATAGCGAACCTTATTTTGGAAGGCCTGCAATGTTGAATTCCCAACAACAGCAAAAGTGACAGCAACAAAACCCCTCTAATCCTCTGGGGGTGCTTGTAAGCAGGAGCACCCTCAATACAGGCCACTTGCAGGCCAACTCACATGACACATTGCTTTGCATTTCTTTATCAGAACACAGTCTGGCTTGTCTTTCTGATTCTCCTCTCAACCCCGTAGTGCTGTGGAATGCTGTTGATGCACCCCTCATGAACCAGATGCCTTGGGTTCTTGTTAATCAACAAGCCAGCCCCCCATGATTGGGGTCATCCATTTCCTGCTCGGCCAGCCTTTCATGCCTCTTCTCTCAGCCCAGCCTTCCCTGTGGTGTCAGTGAGAGGTCCCCTGTCTGGGTCCCCTGGAGGTTGTGCTATGCAGATGAACGTAGTAATCGGTTTACTTACTTCCGGAAGGCTGTGACGCTTTCCACTCAGATCCTTGCTCTCTTCTGTCTCCTTCAGGCTTTTGGATCAGAGAGGGAAGGTGCCAGTTGTTGGTACTTCCATCACAGCCAAACCTTTTCTAGCTCAGCCACTTGAAGCTTTTCAGAGAATTGCTCTGCACTATAGTAAACCCAGCTGGGGCAGAGGTTGGGGACGTGTATGATGTTCTGGATTGATGTCGTGGTCTCTGAACTTCCCCAAGGGCACTGGGAGGTCAGCTAGTGATGCTTGTTCCTGGAGACCTTTTCTGTGCAGAGGCCTTGCTAGGACCAGGAGGAGAATGAGTTCAGCCCCTCTGGGAAAACACAGCAGCAGTGAGCCTGCTGGAACAGCCCTAACAAGAAAAGACCCCTGTCATCTCAGGGTAGTCTCACAGCCTGTTAATGTCGTGGTTTGGGGAGAATCCTGCACAATGATGGCCCAGGGAATTCTGCCTCCTCTCTGCATAGGAAACCTCTCAGCAGTACTCCAAGCTTGTGAGAGAGAAGGGAAGCCAGCGTTTTAGGAAGGAAGGGTCTGTGCATGCAGAGTGTAATCAGCAGATGTCTCCAAGTTCTTCCATGCTTGCTTCCAGGTTACACACCCCGTTGCACGCTGGGTGTTTTAATGGTGGTCCGGTGCTGCTGACTCATGCCCTGATCTGCACCCAGGGGGCCCAGCCCTCCTTTCCAGCTATTGCAATGTGGCCCATCCTCCACTATGGGGACTAGTTTCCCTTTGACAAAGGTGCTCATTTGAACTGGTCCCTCCCATTCTCTCTGCTTCCCCATGACTTGATACAAGCAGGTGGGTTTTTTGTCTCTTTCTCAGTGGCCTATGCCCTTAGTGACTGTGTTGACTGTTCACTCTCCTTTCCATTTGTAGAATAACACATTTGTCTCCCCTGATGATCACAAACTGCTCCAGGCAGCTCCTTCCCGAAAGTGGCCTTCCACTGCTGTTTCCTTACATAAATCTCAGCTAGTATTGAACAGTTAATACTTGCCAAAGGGAAATGGTAACTCACATGCTTTATTATTCAACAAAGCAAGGGAATGGGGCATCGATAGGTTTTTATTGCTTATGCAAAGCATTTGACCTTTCATCGCATTGACTTGCCTTTTGTGTAGTCTTGATAAACACAGAGAGGGATGCAGGGGCCTTGCAGGGAAAACTCCATGACTCATTTCACCTGCTTCCTTTGGACAATCTGTGCTTCATCTAGCAAAGTCCTTCCAAGCTGCTTGGAGAAATTCCCCAGGCTGTCTATTTTTGAAGAGTGTCATCCAGAAGTGCCTACTGTTTTAGGTGGCAGAAAGAACCACCTGGGCAAACCTTTACAAACACCAGTAATGAGGTATTGAGACACTTCACCTTCTTAGAAATAGTGATTTGTTTGATAACAAGTGGACAGCCGTCAGCAGGGGACCGGTCAACAAGGAGGTGATGGCTGAGTGGGCACACCTGTTTGCAGAGGGATTCCTGCAGCTGCTCTGATTAGAATTATGTCTGAGAAGGTTGCCAAAAGGAAATAAAATGTTATGTTTCTTGCTACCAGTAAAAGAAATTCTACATGCTGTAGTATTAAATCTGTTCTATCAGGTCAGAACATGATATATGGGCTTCTCTGTGATATTGAAAATTTTAGTCTAGGAGGAGAGATGAATTTCATGTCATAGGGGCTTGGAATTTTATGAACTTTCACTCTCCAAAGTCCAGTTCTAATTATGTTTTACTCTAGCCACTCAAACTTCCCTCCTTTTTTAAAAGCATTGGTTCATATTTCTATGGTCATAAATTAAATAGTGTGATTGAAAAGTAATGATGATGATGATGATGGTAATGATGATGATTTTTATTTGAGAGCCAGCTGGTTATTTTTCTGTTTGTTGGTTTTGTTTTGTAGCTGTGTCCTTGGCTCTTGCTTTGAATGGAGTCTGCACAAACACTATTAAATTGATAGTGGGAAGGTAAGTTCCAAAAAGAAACAAGTAGTGACTTAGAGTCTCAAGGTCAGCCATATAGAAACCTTGGCCACAGGAGGGACAGATTGGAGCTCATCTGGTCTTCCCTTAAATTGTTGTCTTTCTGGGGTTTCTGTCCTCAACTCAGATCTTTCCCCTCCTTTGAATGATGAACTCACTATTTCAGTAAGCAGGACATCAATAGTAAAGAAGTATCTAATGACTATACTTTTATGGGGACCAAAGTCAAGAAAGCCATTTCCATTTCCAGCCCACTGCTATTCCAGGACCTCACCAGACACCCACTCACTTGTCAGTTTTGGAATCTGAAAAATAGATAATCTTGCTTATTTATCATTCTCTCTGGGACAAACAATATGGATTAGTATTTGAGCTGTGACTCATGACAAATTTCTCTTACCCTCCTGGGAGATGATTTCTATTTTCTGTTTATCTTGCCTTCTCCCCCAAATGTTCTGTAAGTGAGCTAGTCTCTGTAGAGAAAAAGTCAAAAGATCTGAGTTCAAGACCTGACTTAGGCCCTGACTAGCTGTTGGCCTTGGACAGGTTGGTTTCCCTTTCGGAACCTCAGTATTTAGTGGTCAGGTACTTGGTGTGCAGTGCTGGTCAGGCACTGAGGGGGTAGAAGATGGATATAGATTGGTTAGTGAGTGACCTTGGGCTGCATTGTCCTTCCAACTTTCCGAGCTTAGAGTTGCTGAGGGCCCAGGGAAATGCTGACTCCCAGGTCCTCTCTGAGGCTCTGGTTCAGTAGGTGAATAGCCACACCTGGAGAAACACATAGGGGAGAGACAGCACACCAACAGTTCTGATAGATTATTGATAATCGATATGTTATAGATACCGATAGATTGTTATTGGGCCCTGATCCCAGAGCTGGAGGACCAGTGAGCCCTTATAGTTCACAGTGAGAACCATATGGGCTGTAACCCAGTATGGGGACTGTGTTTACCATGTTAGAAAAACCTTGTCCATGGCAGGCATCTGGAAAAGTTAGTTGAATTCATGTGAAGAATCCACCATCACTCATCAGCGTGAGAATCCGCACTTGAGTGAAGTAGACACATGTGGGGTGGGGTGTGTAGGTGCAGGAATCCAATTGCCAGGGTTCAGAGCTTGTCTTTGCACTTACTGGTTGTGTGTGACCTTGGGCAGGAGTGTGATCTTTCTAAGCCTTTATTTTCACACGTGTGAAATGAAGGAAATTCCAGGACCTGCCCCAGGGTTGTCGTAAGTATCGTACGAAGTGACCCATGGGTAGTACTTAATGCTGGGTCTGGTATGCAGTAAGTACTCAGTACATGTTAGCCGTGATTGTGGCAGCTGACTCGGCCTTGGGGCCAGCTGTCCCCTACCTACTTCCCCCACAACCTGGACCACGAGCTGGCCTGGTGACTGTGTGCCCTGGACCAAGAGCTGGCCTGGTGACTGTGTGCCCTGGACCAAGAGCTGGCCTGGTGACTGTGTGCCAAAGCTTGGAACTGAGTTTTCAGGTCTTCTCAGTGAGGTTAAGTGAGACCTGCTGTTTAAGGAAGTGTAGGCAGTTGGCCATCAGATTCAAGATACAGGGCCATGAGGAGCCTGGAGGCTTGGATCCTGGTAGCAGCCTCTGACTAGTGGAGCCATAGATGGAGCTATGGCTCCATCTTTATTTCACCAGTGCTATGCTCAGGTGGCTCCCGGAAGTCATCTCACTTGACCTTCCGTACCTCACTTTTGAGTAGGTATTGATATCCCTTTTTTACATATGTGGAGACTGAGGGTGGTGATGCGACTACCTAAGTCATAAAACTAGTAAGTGGCAGAGTGGGGAATTCCAGCCCAGATCTCTCTGACCCTGAAGCCTGAGCTTTGCCCAAGCCCACGGTGTCTTCCTGTGGGGGCTGCAGTGGTGACGGCAGAAGAAGGAACTGGGGCAGCAGCAGGGGTCGGCGGGGTCAGCTGGGGTTTGTTTGTGATGGCAGCGTTTTATATTGAAACTGTCCATGGTGTCTTTTGTAGACCTCGTCCCGATTTCTTTTACCGCTGCTTTCCAGATGGAGTGATGAACTCGGAAATGCACTGCACCGGTGACCCCGATCTGGTGTCCGAGGGCCGCAAAAGCTTCCCCAGCATCCATTCCTCCTGTAAGTTCCCTGGTTGGGAGACTCTGATTCCTAGGTCATGTCTCCTAATCACTCTTTTTGGGAATTCAGGTGGAGGGAAAAGAGTCGATACCTGAATGTCAAGTGTGGTTCACTTTTCTTCACTGTAGGGCAGTTGTCTTAGAAACAAGACATTCCCCAGGGAGAAATAAGCCTGAAACCAAGACTCTGGAGTTTACAAAACATTGTGTGTGTGGCTCTTGTCAACTCAGCAGAGTGAAACTTGCGACACTTTACCCTTTGGCAGTACCCATCAGGATCCTGACTGCAAGGGAATTAACCGTGTCCCCTGGGACCTCATGCCTTTCAGCTCAGTGTTCTCTCTAGTTTACTCCTTCAATGAAAGTTTTGTGTGTCTGTGTGTGTGTACTGTACCAACATATAGCATATAAGTGTATGTATATACATGTGTATACACCCTGTCACCCCTAATATATAGTCTGATTATAGGTATGTAAGCTGGGACCAGCCTTAAACTAAATAATGTGAACCAGGTGCAGTGTGGTATAGTGGACAGCACGCAGGTCTTTGAAGTGTGACAAATCCGGGCTATGCCGGATACGAACTGTGACTTAACCTCTCTGTGCCTCAGTTCCTGCTGTGTAGACTGGGAATGATAAGGCCTCCACTGTTAGTTGGAGTGAGGGTTAAAATAAGTGATGGTGATCATTTCTGGAGCATCACCATGCCAAAATGTTTCAGTGCATTATCTTATTTAATCCACTCTGTGAATGTCGAGTACTTGGTATCATGCTTTAAATAAACCAAGTTATCCATGTCAGAGTGTCCTGGTCACATCTTCTTTCATTCCATCAGTGTTTACCAAGTGACTCTGGTGCCAGACATTGTGACAGGTGCTGGGGACTTGGAGATAAATGAGCCACAGCTCGTGTCCTGGGGAGTCCCTAGGCAGTGGCAGGCTGTGTATTTAGGTTGGTGATTCTGAAATCCTTGGAGAGGAACCAGGCCCCCAGGTGACCACTTGGGAGAGGACCAGCTACTCTTATGACTTGAAGTCCTTGATTCCCCACAGGTCGGATCGTTGTTTACCTTGGTCAAGCCTGTTACCCTCATCCTTTTTCTTATTTCTAAGTGGCTAATACACACCCTGATAGTGGCTGGACCAAGGAGTAACTGGATGGCCTTTCCTGCAGAGTGGTGGTTGGCCATTTTGCTCAGAGTCGCTAGAGAACAGGGCCTGTCAGCAATATCGGGGTACCCGGCACTCTGAGTGACTCTCCGTCGGCCTGTGCCACAGCCCTGCCAGGTCTGGCTGGCCCCACTGTGTGCATAGGGACAGGGAGGCTTAGACAGACTCAGCAGATTGTTCAAGGACACTAGCTGACCTTCATGCCAGCCTCTAACATGATAGTGTCTTCGACTTTTGATGGTTAAACAACAAATACAAAAAGATATTCACACTTTGGCCACCTGATGCAAAGAACTGACTCATTGGAAAAGACCCTGATGATGGGAAAGATTGAAGGCAGGAAGAAAAGGGGAAGACAGAGGATGAAATGGTTGGATGGCATCACCACCTCGATGGACATGAGTTTGAGCAAGCTCCAGGAGATGGTGATGGACAGGGAAGCCTGGCATGGTGCAGTCCATGGGCTTGCAAAGAGTCAGACACGACTGAGCGACTGAATTGATTCACAGTCTACGTTCATTTAAATAAATAACTTTTTCTCCCCTAGTTTATTGGAGACTTTAGTGGGTTGAATAATGGCAACAAAAAAAAAAATTTGTCTAGATCCTAGCCCACAAGACCTGTGAATGTGACTTTATTTGAGAAAAAAAAGTCTTTGTAGATGTCATTCAGTTAAGTATCTCAAGATGAGTTCATCCTGGCTTTAGGTTGGGCTGTAAATCCAATGACAGATGTCCTTATAAGAGAAAAGCAGAGGAATATTGAGACTTAGAGACATGGGGAAGGAGGTCATGTGAAGATGGAGGCAGGAACTGATGTGATATAGTCGCAAGCCAAGGAACCCTGGAACCACTAGAAGCTGGACGAGGCAGGAAGGAGTCTCCCCTGAAGCCTTCGGAGGGACTGTGGACTGGCCACCACCTTAATAGGGGACTTCTGGTCTCCAGAACTGGGAGGGAATACATTTCTTTCATTTTCAGCCTGCAGGTTTTGTGATGATTTGTCACAGTGGTATCCATCAGGCTTCTTGGCCTTTCCCAGTCAATAGGAATTGACTAGAGGCCAGACAAGAAACTCAGGCAAAGTTTTATTGGCGGCCCTACTGCAGCATGGGAGAGCAAGAACAAGTAACAGGTTTCCGTTAATCCCTGAGCAGGGGGCAAGCTTGCTCCTTGTACGGGTGAGGGTAGGGCTGTGTCCAGGGATCAGGCCGAGGGGGTGGCTTAGGCGTTTTGCCTACCCCTCGGGTGGTGGTGTGTGCAGTACCCTGCTTTTGCTCCCAACATTCTGTGCTCCAGGCTCCTCAAAAGTGGCCGTTGAATTTCTTGGTCTCTTTGTATCTTTTGTCCAGAATTTACCCCACCTGCACATGCACACAGCTATTTTTAGACCCTACAGTTTCTTTGTATTTTGTTGCTCAAGGAGAGGTGTGTCCAGGTGCAAGCATCACAGCACTGCAGGGAAGGTCCCAGGTCCCAGGCCTCTCAACAGCAGCCCTGAGTAAGGAACAAGGAGACAGACTGAACACATACTGGTTAACAGAGAGGTCTGGCTTTAGAGCCTTGGAGGTGGGGAGGGGAGATTGACAGAACGTGTGTTCCTGAGGTTAATATGGCCAGGGGCATGGCATGCATGAAGGCTCAGGGATCACGGTGTTTTTAGGCTCTAGTCTTTCCTGTTATTTTTGGGCGAGCATCCGTTTGGAATAATCACTTCCTCTCTGAGCTGCTTCTTCCTCTCTGAAGTCGTGTTTTAAGTCAGTCTGTTTTGGAGATTGTGTAGGTGACAGTTGGAGGAAGGTCTGCTATATTGATTTTCTGTCTCCTTGTTATCAGGAATTCCCTGGCTGGCCTTTTTTAGATGTACCTGGGATAGTATTCACCTGGGACTGTCTTCCATCTGCTCTGTATCTGTATCCTTGCGGGGTCACTCAAGTTCTCTGCAGTTTCTAGTTTCCCAAAGATTTGGTGCTGAGCTTTAAGTTCAGTTCAGTTCAGTTCAGTCACTCAGTCGTGTCCGACTCTTTGCTACCCATGAATCCCAGCACGCCAGGCCTCCCTGTCCATCACCAATTCCTGGAGTTTACTCAAACTCATGTCCATTGAGTCAGTGATGCCATCCAGCGATCTCATCATCTGTCATCCCCTTCTCCTCTTGCCCCCAATCCCTCCCAGCATCAGGGTCTTTCCCAATGAGTCAACTCTTCGCATCAGGTGGCCAAAGTATTGGAGTTTCAGCTTTAGCATCGGTCCTTCCAATGAACAGCCAGGACTGATCTCCTTTAGGATGGACTGGTTGGAGCTCCTTGCAGTCCAAGGGACTCTCAAGAGCTTTAAGGGGCTTCAAAAGCTATTAGCAGTAAGAAGTGAAACCCTTTGGGGGAACCTTCATCCTAGTTTTCAGATGGTTAACTGAGGACTGCAGCACAGTTTTGTATCTACCATTGCATCTGAACTCGGGAAGGAAGTGGCTCTCATGTGAATAACTCATGCTAGGAGACTGCTGGGTTGCAAAGAGTAGCAATCAAGGCCCACAGAAGTTTCTTTTAGAGGCACACTGTCCTTGTCAAATGCATTTCCTGGTGGGCCTGCCCACCAGCTGTCTTGTCCCTGGGGAGGCTGATGTCTCTTCTGTGCTCCACAAGCTTTCTGACAGAGGCTATTACTATCTTCTGCTTAAGATGTGCTTAAAATGTTAAGATTTTACTGTTTGGCTGACAGAATCCTCCCTAGCCTCTAGGCTTTTGGTGACTCTTTTCCTTTGCTCATTTTTATGGCAGATCAGTGATTGCCTTGCAGGCAGCTGCCATATCCACTTAGAAAACCATCAGTGCTGCTTTCTGGATTTCTTACTGTAGCTGATAGGAAGCCTAGAGGTTGGTGTGACTCATTGCTCCCTAGAGGAGGTGGTGGGCCTCAAAAGGGGTGACCTCAGTGGACTCCCGTTTTGATACACAGGCTCTTTCCCCCTTCAATAAAAACCCACTTTTGTGGGTTGCACTTGAGTGAGTGGACCCAGGGATTCTGGACCAAGGGACCTCTGGAGAGGAGTCCCCCATTCTGGGTAAACATGGGTTTCCTTCTGCTCTGTTCACAGATAATTGGTGACTGGAAGGTAGTCGACGTCCACATGTACATGTCATCCTGCAGATCAGTTGGTTTCCTTTGAACAGAAGAGCAAACACTAATGTCTTTTGGAAACCAAAGATCTTTTTCTTAGTTTACCACAAGCACTCAAGCAGCACTGCCCTGAAGGGCTCGTGTGACAGCCTCTCAGCACATCGCGTGTCCTGTGGCAGCCATGTTAGGGGACTGGCTCTGCGAGGCACAGCTTCAAAGAGCGAGTGATTTCCTTCAGAGTTTTGAGAAGCTTGGGGTCTAAAGTGGAGAAAGGCGATGTGGCTCCAAAGCAAGGGTATTCTGTCGAGAGAACTGTCTTTCATCAGTTCTTTCATCAACTGTCACATTATCTCAGCTTTTGATTGGGTGTTGTTTCAACTTGTAGAAAGAGGATAGACTTCAGAGAGAAAAATTGGAAAAAAAAAACCTTATTATTACCAAGTCAAGGTATTAAGAAACTTTTTTCTATAAAATGGTGGGAATGAACAAAGTGATACTGTAGTCTCTGGTCAGCAAATGACAGCATGTGCACTGCCTGTTTTTGTAAATAAATTTTTATTGCAACACAGAGGTGCCCATCACTTACATATTGTGTGTGGAGGCTTTTACTTTATAATGGCAGAGTTGGTAGTTGCAAAAGAGACCTGGCCCACAAACATACTGTCCATAGTCCAAACAAAAAGTATTAAAAAGCATTACTCAGGGTTCCTGGT